TTGGATTGTTCCCGCTTCCAAGTCCAGTCATAAACAATCATTAACCCCACAGAGCCACAGTGAGTTTGAGCGGCGCTACAACTACACACACACACACACACACACACACACACTGTACACACACACACACACACACTGTACACACACACTCCACACACATGCAGTTTATTTTTTTTTTTGTTTTGTGGGCGCATTGTCAACAACAAGTTCCAGAGAATCAGCTGCTGTCAAGAGTGTTGACAACTTCTTGTGGGGTCATCCCACAGGAACAGACAGCAGCCAGCAGCCAGCTGCTACCCGTTTTTTTTTCCATTTTTTTTGGGTATTTTCGGGAATTATGTTTTGTTTATTGCGAGCTTTGTGCGATTGAAAGATATTGCATTCGTTGCATCCACCGAGAGAGACAGTTAGAAAAAGATGGGGAGAGATCCCCAGCTTACTGCTCCAGATTTATACAGCAGTTAAACCGATTAGGCAACCACCCAACAGCACCACCAACAGTCACATGTATATCGCATATATGCATGACATTTTCATTTTCATATACGAAATGGTTCAAATTGTGCTTCTTATTAGCATTTTTTAGCATATTCATTTTTATGTTAGTTTGAAGCTTCGAAAGCTATTTCCCCGTGGGACTTAAGAACTTTGTTTGACCACTTTTTCACAACTGACAACTGTTCAGAAAATGTTTAAAAGTAAGTGCATTTTTCTTAGATCATACTTATTGTGAGGAACTTATTATTATTGGGAGTATGACCTATGTTGGTGTGTTGTGTCCCATTCTGTGAATATAGCTGTTCCACCCAACTACTACTACTTACTTTAAGCTGATAATGTTAAATCTGACATGGAAGAATAATTCTTATATAGTATTATGTATATATCTATGTGAAGCGAGTGATTTATCAACTGATTCGATTTTGACAGACATCTTAGACATCAGTTATTTCGAGAATTTATATTTTTCTTCTTTTTCTTTTACTACTCATAATAATATTGTTAACTTATGAACTTTTAAATGTCTCCGCCAGCATATTAAAATTCATTTTCTCTAATCACCCAATTAACGTTTACAAAACTCAGCATTTGGTCATTTAAGCAGAAATCTATTGGACGTGTCGTAATGCAGCGACTTCCAAGTACCCGCAGCGAAGTACCTCAAGTCAATTCAAGTTTCATTTTACCAACTCCGTCAGGTTGCAATGTTCAATGTGCAGTAAGGTTTAAAACTCGCCAAACAACTGGCAACTTTTTCATGAATGAATTTCAAAATAACCATTTCCCCCACAGCAAGAACTGCAGCCAAGGTGGGCAGCAGGATGGTAGAGTAGGTGAGAGGCGGGGACAGTTGGCAACCTACTCGCGCATGCAAAACACGATTTACTATAAAGGCAAAAGTTGTAGACAACCGACACCAACAATAACAACAACAACAACAACAACAACAACAAACACCAGGGGTGGTGGGGTGTCGAGGGAGGGGGCACTGACTACGTCTGGAGCTCTCTGTGCCTGGAGCTGCAGACATTTGCTAACATTCATTTGTGTAGATCGTTTCATTCATAAAAGGCGATGGCTTCGACTTCGACTTTGGCAGTCTTTTGGCACATGTGTTGAGGCCGGTCTTTGCTAACTTGGCTAACTGACTGCTTGGCTAACTGAGTGGCTGTCTGGCTGGCTGACTGGATGAGTCATTGTGCCTGCAGCTTGGGTTTGAGCACGTGATGGCAACAACGTCACCATCGAGGTGTGTCAATTAGCAGCCAGTTGTGGCAGGCAGAGAGTCTCTCTTTCTCTCCCTCTCTCTCTCTTACAACAGTTGCTTAACTTAGCTAAAAGCCTAATTGTGAGTCTGAGGATGGCGCAGACCAGACTATATGCCAGTCGATGTGAGTGACTCATCCAACCACGAAGACGACGACGACGCCTTTGCCAATTCATGAATGAGCTTGGGGCAACAACTGGTTTGCCACACTGCGCTTCCTGCACTGTCTGGCTGAGCACCCACATGTGGCTGACTGTTGTGTGTGTGTGTGTGCGGTGTGGTGTGTGCGCGGGTGTCCACATCCCATGTCCACATCCACATCCGCTGCGGAAGAAGGCGTTTGACTTTAAACATTTGTATGCAACTATCTAGGCAAAGCTGTCCGGGATTGGATTTGAATTTTGTGCTTGGGTTTTTTTTGGTTTTGGTTTTTTTGGTCTTTGGTGGCGGCTCGCTTTGTGGCGCCCACCGCCGCGTGCCGCTTTGATTAATTAAGCAACGCCCGCGTCCAAAGACATACAAGTACATATGTATTTATATATGTACTCGAGTACTTTGTGTGTTGCAGCATTTGGGCAAACAGGTAAACTTATTGGTTAGCCGTCGTTCGCGCCTCAGTTGCTGCCACCACAGTTGACCCAAATAGTGCGACAAGGCCTGGACATGGCACGTTGATTTTTTTTGTATGTTTTGTTGCCACCCGACCGTATTACCTTGGTTACAACTATTTTCTGTAATTGCTGCCACTGTGGGCGGAGCAGAAATCGACAAAAATATGACAGCTGAGTGAATGGAACATCTGCTGCAGAGTATGGGAAAGAAAATATAAATGATTATGTGGATAATTATTACAAATATCAAGTGTCATGCCTGAGAAGGTTCCAATCATATTTAAATATTCTAATTAATATTTAAAAGGTAAAGCAAATCCCACCATGTTCAATAAGTTTGAAGCCTTTTCGTATGAGTCAGGCCAGCTAGTTAAGTGTTATGTAGAAATAATTGTAAGCATATAAGAATGGCTATATTAGATACCTTCCACCTGCCGGCAGTTAACTTTCAGTTTAAAATTAATAAATCCGAACGATTTTTCTTATGAAAGCTATATCATAAAGTGGCTCTTCTGATACTAGAAATAAACTGGCTAAACTTACTTAACGCATTCTTGAACTTGTTTTAAATATATTTTATATATATATATTCGAAGTGTTCGAATTTCAGCTTTATTTTTTTAGATTTTCTTACTGCTGTCACCAAAAACAAACTGGCTCCACTCACAGAAAAGCATTTTTAGTTATTTTGAATATATAATTTATATTGGTTGTATTAGACAACGACTAAACTAGGCACAAAACATTTTGAACACGTGCCCAACTTAAGCAATCGAATTGGGGAAAACTGCAAAAGCAATTTTCGAAAACAAATTATCTTGCTTAGATATATTCCAAGCGTGCATATTCTAAGGAGGAATTGAGACAAAGGCATGCCCGGAGCCACACTTGCACATAAATCTAGCAACTGCCTTTGGCAAGGACCAAAGAAACTAGCACAAACTTTATCCTTTCCATTTTAACTTTTGCCATGATGTCTTGCGGTTTCAACTTTTCCCTCACACTCCCTGTTCTGTTTCACTCTCTTTGTTGGCATCTTTATTGTTGCAAATAGATTGAATTGAAAGTTGAGCGTTATTTGCGCTACAAACTTTTGGCCAAGAATGCCTGCTGCAGAAGGCAGCAAACTTGTGCCTATCAATTGAGTCGACTGCCAAAAATGTCAGCTATTGTTTAATATCCTAAAGCAGGAACACATCAATCACGCTGAGCTGCTCATCTGCATTCGCAGCCAGGATTTGGGCCACGTGCGCCTCAAAAAAGATGAGCGCCACATGCAGCTGGCCAAATGGCTAATTCCCGACCCGAAAAAAAATAAATAGCAACAAAGGTAAAGGTCAAATTTCGTGCTGAATGCGAATATATAAAATATGAGAAATGGAAATTGCAATGAGCCCAAAACAATGGGCGAGCATTTTGAATATGCTCGTGATGTGATCGTGGACAGGCTGTTTGACCGGCGCTGGACGAGTCCAATTACGGACTGAGGGGGAGGGGAGCAGCTGATCTCTCCTGATCTCTCGGCCACACTCGATTGATCTTTCAATCACAGGAGCTGGCTGGCTGACTGGCAGCTGGCTGCTGACTGCGTGCGCCAATTTGAGCTGTGTTTGCTGAACATCAATATTGTTTGAATTCCAGGAATGCCCCGAATGCGTCTTATCGCCAGCTTTTTATCATCGCGGAATGAGCCGCGTCATCAGCGCAGATTGAAATAATTCGACAGGCCAAAAAGGAAAAAAAAAACAATAACAACAGCAACAAAACAAAACAATCAAAAGTTGCCAAGTCATTCAAGTGGTCAGCGGCGTCGTCGGCGTCGGTGGCTGTGATCTGTTTAGGTGGTTCTCGTGGTGGTTGCGACGGGAGATCGCGTGCGATAAGCAACGTCAATATTTGTATTTGGCGTTTTGGGAGCAGAGGCCGATTATTTGGTCCTTGTTAGCCTCGACCCCGAGCAGGGCGGTGCCCTTAGATCTCCTTTACTCTCTCTCTCTTCCGACCAACCGACCGACAAGTGGCTGCCCAATTTGCGCTCTGTTTCTGTTGTCGGGCTAATTGTTTGCTGTTATTGTTGTTGTTGTTCGCTACCTGACCCACCAGCAGCTTCAGTTTGCGACCTGTGGGAATATGGCACTGACCACATAATTGGCCCTTGGATTGAATTATCACAAACATACCGCGGCGATCACGTCCAAGCAGCTCTTGTTTGACATGCTCGATGGGAAGAACCATTCAACTAGCCTAGAAATAAACACAAGTATTGATTTAACAGGTCAACACGATTTCAGCTACACGGCTATGAATATTTAACGAACAGCTTATACATCAGATTCTATTGATCAGATCAGGGTTCCAGATCATCACTTATATATATATATTTCCTGTATGTATTCACAAAATGTTCTCTCATTGTTTTCATTTAGCCTAACTTCGATCAAATAAAGGCAGCAGCATCTTGAGGATGCTGAAGTGGCAACACTGCTAAGCACTTTCCCATTTTGAAATTAACAGTTAGAGTTGCCTTTTTTGCTTAGTATTCGGAAAAGGCTGGCAACACTTTTTGTCTACAGCTTTTGCACGTGTGTCACACGTCGAGAAATTTCTGTTCTGTGAATTGTTTATAATATTATATTCAAAATGAGCAGCACTTCAATTGAACTCAATGCAGAGGATTCCGAACAATCCTATTTGTCCAACAATTTGGAAGAAACTAGTCAGCATTATAGGTAATATTATGCATATTATGCATTATATATTATTCTTATATTTACATTACAATACATATAAAACACACCATTGAAGCATCGATGTGAGCGACAATAAGGAAAATGAGGATACGCAGTCAGGATATTCTCTATTTACACTTGTAAGCGGTAAAAATAAAAGGCTAAAGGTAAGTTCAGCCAAATTTGCAGATATTTCATTCTCAAATCGCCACTTAATTCCACGTTACATTAAAATGTTGCATATCTCATTTGAATTACTGCAGAATATCTGCCAGGCGTGGATCAGATGTTATATGAATAATCCTACAGATGCATTGATTAAGCTCATGCAGTTTGTTTTGGAGGCCAGCGGCTGCAATTATCAAATACCCCAAAGCCAAAACTTACCATTTGACTTTGGCAATATTCTCATTACAGCCACGGCTCATTTTGGCAATGTAAGTTCTAGTTTGTAATAATGATTGAAAACAAAAATACACAATGAATATTTATAGAATTATGTGCAGCCCCATTTCCGATCTTAAACATATTTTATTTTTATAATTTACATATATTTTTATACAATTAAATTATAGAAAAGTGTGCAATATCCCATGACAATGAAAATGCGTTATTTGTTGGTCAAAAATATCAGTCAGTTTGTGAAGGAACTAATGAATTCTGTGATCTCTACGCCCATCATATTGGATGACTACTTCCTGAAGAATATCACTGGGTTTGTGATGGTTGCGGCCGACTCGAAGGTGCGTGCCTTTAGACACACCACAACCCTAATAGGTATGAGAAGAGCACCAAATAGAACTACTTAATCTAGATGAGATTCATTTCGCGTAGCATTGAAGATGATGACGGCGCTGAGTGCCACCGTTTTCCTGGCGAATGTGAGGCTCCGGCAGATTTGGCTGCAGCTATTCGCCAAAGTCTACTTGGAGCGTTGCATGGATTGTGTGGAGCATATTCGCCAAATGAGTGCGGCCGAGTTCGGAGTGTGGATCAAAGAGTATCCGAATTGCTATCTGAACCCGGATGATGTCAAGTATTTGTTCGTTTCGCTGCAGGATAATGCGGTAAAGGTGTGTGAATGCAGCTTTCAGGCATTGTTTAAGTTGCATGCCAATGCTTTGCTGCGTGTCGCCTGCGTTGAGCAGGGCATTAAATACCGAAATACCCTGCTCGGTCTGACGATGAGCGCCGAGAATGAAATTAGCCAGATGGCCATACAACTGGTGGGCGACCTTTACAGATCATCGCCCCACATACTCGACGAGAACATGCAGCTGGCAATCGAGTCCCTGGTCTTTGCTGCCCATCGTGGCGTTGCCCAAGCGGCAGCCGCACTGGTTCCGTTCCATTATCGCGACGACATCTCGGAGCCGGAGCTTCTCCAGATACTGGTAAAGTTCTTTCTGCGTGTCGCGGGGCATGAGCATTGCGCCTTTCTCATCGATGCCTACTACGGTCGCAATGACATTGTGCTGGCCTGGTCCAGCATGATCTCCATGCTGCTGACGCCTCCGAACTTAGAGTCTTGGCGACGGGAGGAGAACAGTTGTCTCATTGAGATCATGTCGCGGGCCATCAAGCAGGCGGTTAGTGGCGAGGTGCCACCGGGTCGCTACACGGAGTATCCGGTGCATCAGCCGCTCTTGAATGCCAAGAAGTTGGTCGCAACCGTATTGCTGCCAGATTTGGCGGCACTTATGCGCCAGTATCGTGACCACAGCAACGATCTGCGTAATCTGCTCGAGCTACCGCAATACATGTTCTTGCAGGGGCCACAGGTGAAGGCGCTGCTCGATCAGATCGGCGACATGATGTTCGAGGAGCAGGAGAACTGTGTGCTGCGCATGGGTGCCCAGACGCTGGAGCATCTCTACGATCAGAGCGATAGCAACGACAATCATTGCAAGCAGCTGCTCAACAGAGCGGTGACCAATTATATTATTGCCTCCAAGCAATCCCCATCGGAGGAGCCATCCCAGCGTTTGCTGGTTACGCTACGTCTACTCTCCGCACTGTATGCCCACTTTGATCTTAGGGAGTGGCAGCTGAGCGATCCAGTGCTGCTCATTCTCAGGCAGGATTCCGCTCCATGCCCAAAGGCACTTTGTCTCTATCTGAAGTTGATGTACTCGTCTCTCAGCTGGGATCTGAAGTATCTGACCCATGCCGACAACATCGACATGGCCGAGGAGTGCAGGGCATTGCGGCAACGCTTGGAATTGTTCCTGCTGGTGACTACCAGTCTTATCGAACACTCAACGGAGCTCAAAGTTAGCTGCACAGTATGTGTAAGAGTTTCCTCATCGAATTTTCTTTAATTTCTGCTCTTTTCCCCCATTTTCAGGCCTTTGTCTGCACCTGCGATTTGTTTTGCCTGTTTGCCGATGAGCTGCGTCAAAGCGAGGACACCAATATCCTTGGCTTGGAATATCGAACCAAATCCAGTGATTATGTGCTGCTCGAGAGGTTTCTGGAGCGCTATGTGTTTGCCGACGCGGATGTGGAAGCTATTCACAAGTTGACTCAACCCGAACAGTTTGCTCAGCTCCAGAGTAAGCGTCGCATTCTGACCAGCTACTTGAAACTCTCGTTCCACAATGTGATGGTCATGATGCGCACTTCCATTGCCCTCCAGCATTATAGGACAGTAAGAGCTCAACATAACTAATATCTTAGCGTATCTTTAACTATATACGATTGCAGTTCCATTTGCCATATGGGGATATAATGCGTTCCTTGATGGAGCGCAGTATTGCGATGAATCCCCCGAACTTTGGCATGACCCTGATGCACACCATCTTAATGGTGTATAAGCGCATTCGAGTGAACTATCCGGACGCGAGTGTGGCTGCGACATCTTTGGATTTTGCTGAGCTCATCAGGCTGGCCGAGATGCTGGCGGAGCAGTTGAACTCCAGCCAGCTGGAGGCTCGTCAATCCGTAGTCGTTCTACATCGGGCCGGCATCCGGTTTGCCTCGGATCATCAGAATAGCAATCTGTTGTTTTTGAGCGTCACCCAACAGTTTATACCGCAACTTCTCGCCCAGGATATGCTGGATGTGCACAGATTCCTGAACACCAACTACCCCTCGAATCTGTCCAACAGTAGTACCGAGTACTGGCTATCACTCGTCTCCTATCGCAACGCCCTGGACATAGCCATCGCAAAGAGCTGTCGCCGTGACTTTCATTTGCAACAGGAAGAATAATTGAAGGCAACGAAATGAGCAATCCATTAGCATAGAAATGGAAAACGGACCAAGCATTTTGCAGGCATCTATCAGAAACCGACTAAATACTTTCGATAGTTAATCAAACATTATTTTCTTCTGGTGATTAATTTATGAACATTTTTTACTCCAATTATTTTCACAGAGTAAAGTCTTATCATAGATTGCTTCGGTATTTATTTCTTAAATTTTGCTGAGATCATCTCTTACTGTTTTTTTTTAAAAACTGTTGATTAATTTTTGACAACATTTTTCACAGATTCTTTTTCAACCATAGATTTCAGACTATAATATTTTTACCAAATTTAATTTCGCTTTTTTTTTACTTACATTTTTCATTTGCTAAACTTTTTTTGAATTTTTTTGTTTCACTTTATTATTTTTGGCTTTTATTGTGCTTTAGCAATTGTATAAATGTCCCCTCAACAACAAAATGGTCGAAATATTTCTGGCTTACAATCTGTGGTTTGAATGCGGCATGCAACAACTGAAGTTGGATAGGGGTTGGGATGATATTCGAATATTTGAATATTTTAGTATTCCTTTGTACTGCTGTTTGCCAGTTGCAGTTGCAAAAGCTCTCGTGTCCTTTGACAAACATATCCCCCCACCAAATATGCCACACATTCAAGGACTCTATTCAAAATCGTTGCATAATATGTGTGTGTCTGTGTGTGTATGTGTGCATTGTGTGTCGATGTCTGATGGGTGCACTTACAGGGTGGCCTGCATTCAATCAGAAGCAGCTGGCAATGTATCGAATTTCCATGTTCCATTCAAAAGTACGAATGGTGAGCAGGAGCAGGAGCAGGAGCAGGAGCAGTTGCAGAAGGAGGAGGAGAACTGCAGCTCAACAATTTTCAATTTCGATTCCGTGGCCTTTTCCGTGTTGTCTGCTGACAAATTGACTCGCAACTTTGCGGGTTCATTGGAGACTAAGAGAGGAGGGGGCAGAGAGAGAGAGGACCTCGCTCAGCGACTGTTAAAGGATGAACACGTCCTTTGACACCCGGTCGCTAAAGGGAGAGAGAGAGAGAGAGATAGCGAGAGTGAGAGAAGGTTAACCTTAAGGTGTATGCGCGCTAAATACAATATTTCGGGAATGTAATTCAAGTGGACGCACTTCTGTTTATTGGTTTTGGGTATCAGTTCATTTCATTTCCCTGGCACATGCCAAGTGTCCGGCCGTGGTGTCCGATTACGAAGTCGTTCAAGTGTCCATTTTTAGCCAACAGCTGACGTCATAAGACCCGCGGATCCACTAGCATATTCAGGAGCGCTGCAGCGCTTGTTACACAAATTAATTTTATTATCTGCACTCAATTAAGATTAAATGTAAATCCTTTCCATTGATTTTTCCAAAGAGCGTAAATATGATATAAAATATTTTTACAATTTGTGTGTTTAATTTTTTGTTGGTTTTCCTAAACTGCAAAAGAGAAATCTACAGAAAGTTCGAGTATCTTTTTAATTGCGCAACTCTGTTAACTAAATATAAATCAATATCCTCAAATCGAAGAAAAGTTTAGTAAAAGCAAAATAAATAATAGCCAAAAAGAGGATGAACTCTTTATTCTTCCTTTTATTATTTTTTATAAAAAAAAAATGAAAATCAAAAATGAAATGGAATGGAATTTGATATATGAGAGGCAAACTAAGCTCTGACTGTTGCAGATGTGTGCTTTTAACAATATTTTCTATAATAACTTAAATATTTACATATACAAGCAAAAACATCCTATTTGTTTTGGTCGGAAAAGGATAATCACAAATATTGTGCAAATGTTTGAAAAATACTGTTTGGTTTATTTCTCTAAGGATTCAGGTTCAGATTTCCGATTTCGGTGGCAGCTGTGCGAGTTGGAGCCGTGTGCTGATTACCTTTTACCATTTAGCATTTAGCATTTAGCATTTACCACTTCGCATTTACCATTTACGATGCCAAAGAGTTGTTCGTCTTTAGTCCTGCTGCGCCAACTCAAGCAGCAGGCGAACGGCGAACAAACATCTGTGCATCTAAATTGGCCCATCTACAGATCTGGCGATCTGCCACCAGGCATGCGTCACACTCCGCCCCTCCCCCCCGCGCCATGTAGCAGGTAGGGGCCATTAATTTCGCGTAACGGGCAACCGCTATTCGTTGTCCTGCTGCTCTCCCTCTCTCTCTCTCTCGTTCTCTCGCAGACAACGGGAAAAGAGTACTTCCAGCGGCGGCACAGATGTGCTGATGCGATCCGAATCAGCAGCAGCAGCAGCAGCAACAACAACAACAACTGCTGCGGTTGCGGTTTAACGAGATGCATTCCCGCCTCCAACTTTAGCTTCCCGCTCTCCCTCTCCCTCTCCCTCTCTCTCTCTCTCTCTCTGTCTATCTCTCATTGCAAGCGATGTCTGCTTGCGATAAAAATAAAACGGTCCTCGCTTCGTCGAATTAGTTTCTTGGCCGAGTTTAAACGAAAGTGTAACACAAAGCAACAAATTTTCGACACGCGCATCTGTCGTCCTGTGTGTCCTGTGTCCTGTGCCCCTTTTAAAGGGGCAAGCTAACCAAACCAGCCAGGTTGCTTCTTCTTTTTCCGACTCTTCCCGAAAATATTTCGCAAAAACAAAATAAATAAAGAAGGGCGACACGTGGCACTTGATTCATATCAAATTTCTGGCCACAAATTGTATTACACACACAGACACACACACACACACACACTCTCATGCAATGCACAACTATTTGGAAGTTCACAGTTCGTTTTCACTTTTTCGAGTGGAAGGGTTTCCAGTTCCTCTTCTTTTTTTTTTTGGTGTCTGCCAACTGTCAACCCATTTGGCCATATTTATGGTCACTTGTTGTGTTGTGGGGGGGAGAGGCGGAGTTACAACAACTGTTATTAACACAAATTTATTGCACTAGTCGTATAGAGTTTTATCTTTCATCTTTCTCTTCTTCTTTTTTTTTTTTTTGGTTAAAAATGTGCAATTTGCTAACGGGGAAATTCGCAATTCAGTTAACTGGAATGCGTTTTAAAACGCGTCCAAAACGCGTTCAGCACTGCCAGCATTTGCAAGTAGGGAGCACAGCTGAAATTCCAATAGACGCCTCGAGCTTATTCAATATTGGAAAATTCTTTTAACCAAATTCAAATTGATCAGCATTAAATAGTAATTCATGGCAAACATTTGCTCGAGTTTCACAATTTAAACGTCGGCATTGTCGCAGCACAATTCTCAGCGTCAACAAGCACATTGTATACACGTGTATGTGTGTGTGTGTGCAAGTGTCTGAAAGTGTGCAGAGTCCGTTAAATCTGTTGGCGCTCCGCTTTAATTGTGTAATTCTATTGTTGTTTTTGTTGTTGTTTTTGTTGTTGTTATTTCTTTGTCAGTCAGCAGCACGTGAATTTCTTTTGCTTTTGCTTTTGCTTTTCTTTGCGCTTGGTTTGATGAAGCGGAGAGAGGGTGGGGTTTGGGTGGTTTTACTCTCACAAGTTAAGCTGTTTATTGTTCGACATACATTTTAATATATGGACATCAAACGTGTTGTATTATTCTGTTTGTATGTGTGTGTGCGTACAGACTTAGAGTACTTTTGTGTGTGTGTGTGAAGAATCATGTTTTGTCATTGCTTTTGATCAGCTGGTTTGATTGATTGCTGTCTTGCATATTGGAATGGAATCACTGGAAAACATAATGGAATGTTCCAGTTGAGAGAGGAGATAACCTGATCTGAGCTTTTAAAAACATAGAAAGCGTCCTAAGTATTTGAATTAATAACAGATAGATATAAAATATCAGATATAAATTATAATATAAATCAAACATAATATTTCGCTGTAAGTTTCTAGAAAGAGTGAAAAATAAATGCAAAGGATTTTACTGATATTTCTTCCATTGTATGTTTACATTTCATAAGTAGTTCGATTTTTGGGCGTTCTTGCTTACTGAAATTAAAACATTTAGAAGTCATTTGTAAATGAACGAATAATTTTTAATAAATTACAGCCATTACGTTTGAACATTGGTTCATTTATTATGCATTTATCAAAGACCCACACCCACACACACACACCAGGGCACACACACTGTCAGTTGCACAGTCGTGTTTTGAGGCGCGTAGTTGAGTGTAAAAACATGAATCGGACGATCCATCAAACGAGGGACTGTTGATGGGCTCGTGACGTGCCACTGACGTGGCTGCATGTTGTCCTTGCCACAAGCGGCGACTTTCCATTGATTGATAAACGCACAAATTTGTAGATTGTCAATCAGACGGACTGCTGCTGCTTCTGCTTCTGCTGCTGTTGATCCTGATCCTGATCCTCGCCGTGTGCTGTCTGAGTGACGGCAAACAAAACAAGGACACACCGTGTGGCAAGGAAACAATCTGTTATTGTAATTCCCCTATGTGTGTGTGCGTGTCTGTGTGCGCCGTTCCTAATGTGACTGCAAATAAGACGCGCCTGCAACGACGGTAGTCCAGCTACAAAAATCGGTTGCCTGTTTACAAATGTGTCGCCAACGCGTAACTCAATCCTTGCAGCAGGAGCAGGAGTTGCAAGCAGCAAGCAGCGAACAGCAAGCAGGATGCATGCGGCAGTTGTCGCCGCTTGGCAAACCAATAAATACCACTTAGGAGTCGCCCCCTACTCCTGTTGCCTGTGTGTGTCAACAAAGTCATGTGTCGGCATGTGTCGTGTCCTTTGACTCCGAGTGCAGACTGCAGACTGCAGCTGAGACTGCGTAGGACACGCATCTGAGGCATAAATTAACACGCTGCTCCAAAACCAAATCCGTTCCATTGAGCCCTGACTGGCTGGCTGCACCTTTGCTCCCCATTAGCACGCGACCACTTGGAAAACACAGACACACACTCCACACACACACACACACACACACACAGAGACAGATCGCGGCGCACGCGCAGCATCCACTTGAAAGGATATGTGCAGCAAGGAGAATGGAGACAAGCTGCACAGGACTTAGACTGCGACTCCGACTCAAGTGCAGCCGGAATTGTGGCCGGGTTAAAATTAGTCAAGCCCTGTCAGCAAACCTGATTTAGTGTCCCCCTCTCCAAGCAGCAGATGCAACTGAAAAATCTTCGGTATTATCTCACAGCTCAAATTATAACTTTAGCGGCAATTTAATTAAGCAATTACAAGGGTTTTTCTTTGCTCTGTTCGCATTGATTTATTTACGCTTGGAGAGGGGAGAAAGTGTTGAGAAGACCGATGGAGAATACTGCATATGTTTTGAGATTTCTCGAGAAACTGGATTGACTTTCAGCACAAAGTTGATATTGTGTTTAAATTTATGACTTGAAACTTATAAAGAACACCTGTAAATAAATAAAATAAGTACATTTAAGCATATTAATCTTATACTCAAAATATTGATAAAGAAATGCTTGAATTGCAAATGAAATAAATAAAACTAAAAAAGGATTTCCCATGCGTATTCTCAGCAATACGATATTTGATTACCCATTAGGTTATATACTTAATAGTGCCATGCTTCACTAAATATATTCGTCTTAGCTCATTGAGATTACGATGTATGTAAAGGTCGATCAGGTTAATTGTTGTGGGCCAGGTCAAGCGTGCGACAGTTCAATTAAATGCAATATTTATATCGACTGACCACAAAAAGGCGGACAATTGGCCAACCAGGGGTGAGGAGAGGTGACCGCGACAAAGAGGTGCCAGATGGCGGCAAGGGTGTCAGGATTGTCATCAGGTCTCTGACCAACTCAAACAGATGCGGCTACGAAAAGTGGACAGAAATTAATTACAAGCTGACACAAAAAAAAAAGAAGAAAACAGAATGAATATAAAATATTCAAGTTATGGCGACAAGTGTTTTGAGCCAACAGCAGCTGACTGACAGACTGACTGAGACAGAATCTGCCCACTATACTCGTATATATATTAAATGTATGTGCCAAGTGTGCCCACAAACAATTAATCATGTGTAGCGTCGTCATTTTGAGATTTTTAACGACTGCGCCTGCTGTCAACGCATCCTTCGACCATAACCCATAACCCATGACCCATAACCTTCCATACTCCATATTCCTTATAGCATATTCCATAAAACATTTCTCAGAGGCGCCTTGCAACATAAAGTTGGCGTTGCGCCCTGATAAATGTGTGCCTCAAGCAGCCCATCAAATAGATTTATTATTGAAAATATTTGTGTGCCTTTTGATTGTTATGGGTCTGTCTTTCTGTCTGTCTAACCGTCTCACTGTCTGTTTGCTGTTGTGACAGGGGCAAGACACACACACACACACACACATAAATACCAAGGAGACAAAAAAGGAGTCCAAGTCCAGCGGAGGCTGTGGAACAAATGTTGTGTTCAATTTATTTCATTACATTGGCATTTTATGATGACTTGGCGCGTTCTCTTTCATTTTCAAGAGGCGTTCAATTTCGAAGCAATAAAAGTGCAAATGCCCCTTGCCACAGGAGCAACATCAGTGGCAGCATCATCAGCTGTCGCCCCTTTTTTTTTTTTGTTTTTTTTTGTTTGTCTCGTTGGGTCTTTGAACTTTGCTGCTGCGACAGCAGCTGACTTCGACAGCGCCTCAAACGAAAGTGAAGACAAATATTTTTTTTGGGCTTTTATTAATACATTTTTATAAGCTTGCAGAGGATATTGAAGGAGGCCACTCAAAGCACAGAAAGTAAATATATTATTGATGAGCATCACTAGCCATGAATAGCAATGTTCATCCGTTTCTATGCAAAAATCCATAGTAACAATCGGGCGACAGATGATTTAGTCTATTAAAGTCTTTTTAGTTTACTAAGTTATTCAGACCAAACTCAATAGTTAAACGACTTATAATGCTCCTCGAGCCATGTCCAAGCAGGCCTGGTTTTTGAAAATCGGATTAGTTTTGATAAATGAAATAATTTAAACAAATTGGGAATTTAATTTTGTATTAAAAATAGAAACAGAATCGTATATTAAATTTTGAATTCAATATTAATCTAGAGGTCAAAGTTTAACTGATTTTAGATTGATTTTTTTATTTGGCTCAATCAATAGTTACAAATTGTATTGGTACTTGGCAATTCAATTTAGGTTGTTCTTAATTTGATATTTGGTATCGGTAGCCAAACCGAAACAGATGCCACACACAGTTGTCCCATCAGCAGTAGCTGCTTTCAGTAGCAAGCAGCGATTGATTGACTCGACAAAAGGTTCAAATCCTGCCTACAACAACAGAAATTAACCCTTGAAGAGATGTCTGGGAGCAGCGAGAGATGGTTAGCAAGAGAGGATAAGGCAGGGGGTAAGAGGGACACACACACACACACACACAGACACAGACAGGCAACACCTTTACACATAATTAGAGGCCTGTTGACTGCGGCGACAATGAATGCGATATGAATGGTAAACAGGCACAGCAGCAACACTTTACCCCTTTACCCACTCTCCCCCCAGACACCCCTGCCATCGTGCCACATGTCCAGCGTGTCGGACCATTCATTAATCGACATCCACATGTGGCAAGGTGAGGCGGCATCTTGGGGTCCATTGCAATGCGCCTTGGAGTGCAAACGACGGCGGCACAACAACAAAGGCCACAAGAAGAGCCTATTAGCCACAATAAAGAGGCATCTTCTGCTGCTTCTTCTTCTTCTTCGTCGTCTCGAGTCCCAATTCTATTATGCTGTGAATGCTATGCAGATGTGTTCGCCTTGGCACGTTAAGTGTGTGTGTGTGTGTCTTGTTGTGTGTTTGTTTGCTCGCCAGATGCCATTACAATGTAAATACAAGAAAAGTTCAATCGGCAACTTGATGCGGGTCTTCTCTCTTACTTCTGGCCATGACAGTGGTGTGGCGAGGAGGAGGTGGTGGAGGAGGAGGAGGGAGGGAGGAGGCAGAGGCAGGGGCAGGCATACACGTAGAAAGCCATTTCATTAGGCAGACACAGTGCATCTACCCCTCCTCCTTTCCGTTCCCCTGCCCCATCTGTTGAACAATTGATCAAATATCATAATTTATCAAATGACAATGCGACACAAGGCGGCAGCCTCTGTGAGGCGCAACAGCCTCGATCTATGTCTGTGTTTTGTTGCCCCGTCTCCAAGCAAGCTCTTGCTATTTGCTTGCCCCAATCCCCACACCAAGAGCAAAGCAAGCTATATAAGTATCTTATCCATCTATGCGACGACTATCCGATGTCGCTTCGAAAGCTACAACTTAATTTATTTGAACAATTTAGTCAATACAACAACAGCAAGAACAACAACAAAAATACCCATTTGGCTGGCTTGTCGTATTCTTCTTCTTCTTCGTCTTATTTATACCGATGGCCCTGCCCATTGAAGCTATCATAGCATCTATTTAGCATAATTGCAGTCACAGCCGCCTGTTCCACTTGTTGCGGCTCGTGGTGGTGGTCTATGGTAAACCAATACCAATACCGATACCTATACCTATAGCTAGAACTATAATATATGTATGTGCACAGTGGAACAGATTGCTCAAAACACACAGAAAGGCATTTATCTAGAAGGGAATTAACGATTATTAATAATTTATGATTTATAGCTTGGCCTTGGACTGATTGGTTAGTTCCAGCCTAAAGCTAAGATTTTGCTTGTATTTGAAATGCGTCAGTTTGAACATTTTTATGTATTATGTTTGCCAAGGGACAGGTTCAGGTCTCCTTATTTCAAATTTCAAATAGATACCGAAACAAAATTTGTTAAAGTTTTGACTGTTGTAGAGAATAGAAAAAATAATAAAAACACAAAATTGTTTGTAAAGACCTGGAGAACAAACAGCAAACATGGCAATGTTGCAAAAGCAAGGTGCTGCAACTACCGAGTTGGATCCGGGGTCGAGTGGATGTTGCTGCAACTGCCAACGGAAACTGGATCCATATCAGTTGTTCGACGAAAATGTCGAGGACATTGCCAAGAGTCTGGCCCAGATCATGGTCGTTTGTGGCATCAACACGGGTCGGGCCTACAATGCCAGATCGATCATCAAGCGGGCGTTCATCTATCACGAGAAGCTGCGCACCCGATGTCCTGCCAATCCCCCCGAAGGGACACATTTGCGGCGCGAGGATCTGTTGCAGGCGCTGCAAATCAAGTGCGAGATGGGCAACGTGGAGGCGATGCTCACGTATGCGATCATCAAACGGGCCTTCAAGGCATTCTTTCACGGCAAACCGGACCGGACGATCAGTAATCCCATTGTGGATGCCATGGCCATAAGCACACAGAAGGCCGCCTGGATGCATGCCGCCTACAGGACAGCGAAAATCTTTGACAACTATCGGCCGGCATTCTTCTGGGCACACAAGGCTTTCGAGAAGCAGATCAACATTGTCTATCGTGACCTATACGAACGCATGAGCGCCAGGGCGAATCCTCTAGCGGTGCCCAACTGTAGCTGCCCCAAGTGCGCCAGGCAGTCGGTTCCGGGACATCCCAAGCCTGGCGAACGTGTGCGCGAAAAATTCAAGCTGGCGGACTGCGCTGATCTGCCCCAGGCGTGCATTGTATGCGGTCTTCAGGTGCCCAAGATTAGGTCTAACGTGAAGCGACCACGACCCATTCTCAATCACGAGTCGAAGTTTCCTCGTTGCCACAAGTGCAACGCGCCGAGGCTCATCTGTGAGTGCAACATTGATCAGTTGACGGGCGAATTGTATGGCGAATGCGGTCAGGACTCCTACAAGGTCAAATGGTATCGCCTCGAACAGGAGCAGAAGCCACCACCAGCGGAGTCCAAGCTGAAGAAATCTATATCCGATGCGGAAGAGAGCAGCTATGAAGATGCCAAGGAGCCCGATTGGGAGGATCATCATTGCCCCATCGATTGTGTGCACAACGAGTACAGTGAGTCCTCGAATGTGTGTCACGAGCACAATCCCACCAGCCTCTCGCAAGGCAGTGACACCTCTTTCACCACCTGCTCCGAAAGCGAAGATACGGTCGATAAGCTCGAACGCTATCTGAACACTCTGTGGGCCGAGGAATTGGCAGTCACAAATAATCCCAAGACCTATGTGGCCAACACCAAAGTGTCACCCTGCGGACCTTGCAAGCGACTATCAACTTGATGTGGCCATATCTGTCTGTCAGTTCTAAAAGTATATTCATCAAATTTAAAGTATACACATATTCGCTTACCAAGTTTTCCGAATCAAACTTACTAAATATGCGTGAGAATTCTTCCCCATTGTTGGACAAAGTATCATCAACTTCGGACTACTATATCAAATAGATTTCATATAATCGTCGGCTTATATTTATTGTTATAGCCATAGTTAGTTATTATTTTATTTTTAGCGCCACTCTTTAAGCTCCCATTACTTGAGTGTTTCAAGAGTCGACTATTAAGAGTGGAGAGACAGAAGAACAGGGCGACAATCCTGCCATCTTTCGCCCACATGCGAAGTGGAGAAGGAGTCGCGGATCGGTTATCTGGCATTGCTGGCACTCGCAGATCGCGATTCCCTCTGACAATGGCCACTTAAATGCCAGTTGGCGGTTGTAATCGCTGTTAAATTGCTGCCGCAGCTACTGTTGTCAACAACGCCCTCGTTTTTGTGCCCCGTTGCCCCCGCTGGCTGCACAGCATAAATCGCTCGCATTATCTGCGCACTTGCATCGCAGTGGCAGCCACGTCCACGTCTGTTGCATCGGGAATGGGAACAGTATGGCACGGGCTTCACTCTCAGCTCCCAGTCTTCTTCTTCTTTTTCTGCCTGGCTGCTTATCAATCTCGGCTCATCTGCACGCAGCCATTGGGTTGGGGCAAAACCATGAACATCTTCTGCGAAAAATAATTCCGCAACTTGTCACAATTTCTGTGCAGACCCCTCTGCGCCAGTTGTCTGGTAATGGTCCATGGTCCATTGCTATTTGTATTGGCAGCGCCAGTTGCGGAGTCCTTGGACTGCTGTCACCAAGACTATTTTTGGTGGGCCAGACTCTTAGCTGCAACTTGCAACTTGCCTCGTTGCAGGTATCTCTCTCGCATCTTGGCCTCTAAACGCTGACTTATGCTTAAATACCTTTGACTTTTCTCGTCTGCCATGTTCACTGAGCGCTGCATTTGCATATAGATTTATTTTTATAGCCTTCACATTGGATAGTTTTCTTATACCCTGATAAAGGGTATAATAAAGTTGCGCCAAAGTATGTAACAGACAAAAGGAAGCGTCAACGAGCCCATAAATTATATAAATTCTAGATCAGTAGACCAATAAATATATAGTTATGTTTATTCTATATTCTTTCCTGGTCTGTTAGGGTATCTAATCTTCGTTATGTACAAAGATATCTTTATAGTTAGTAATTTTTTTTTTAATTTTCTGCTTAGTTTTCGTTTAGCTGAGGAATATTTCTGCCAGTCATTGCTTTGATTGCTGTGATTATCTGTAGACTTGTTAATCTGCTGCTAATTCTGACACTCAATAATATTCCAACAATTATGATATACAAAAAATGCAGAAATTGCCAAATCTTCAAGTGTATTGTTCTCATGTACAAAACCCACTTGGAATACTCTACTTGAGAAACTGAAGAATCAAAACGAATTGAATCGAATTGAATTGAGTAAACAAGTTGCATTGGAAAAGCTCTGGCATTATATTCAATTGTTTGTTAGAAGCAAACCATTGAACTTTTTCGAAAAAGCAATCAAATTTGCGTCTAATTCAATCACTTTGTGGCAGTTGCAAGTACCAAGTTGCTCGAGATAGAGACAGAGAGAGAGAGAGACAGCGTTCCTTTTGTATGTGGAACTTAATAGTCTTTTTATAGATGCACTTTTTCAACTTCAATTAATGAAGTGTCGAGTTGTTAACACACCCAAAACACGAGCGATACGAGCCCTTAACATCGCCCCAGCTCCCTCCCTCTCCACCTCTCTCTGTTGCGCTTCTATTTCCAAACACCAGCAACAAATGAGCCTCCGAGACATGCTGGGAAAAAAAAGCCGAGCAGCTCTTTGCTTCCCAAAATGTAAACAAACAAATTAAAACAGCCGCAGCAGCAGAAGCAGCCTCTTTCTGGCCAGGCTGAGCATCTTGAACACCAGGTGAGAAAACGGTTGCTGTCCGTTGAAAGTCTCTCTGGGAAGCCAAAAGCCAAAAGCAAACACAAACAAGCCCAAGACAGAAGCAGAAAAATCAACAGCCAGCAGCATCATCAGAAGCTCTTTTAGTTGAGTTTTTAAGTTTGTGGTGTTATCTAAGTGAATTAAGACATTAAATGGGTGGCGATTTCTTTTCTTTTTTGGAGACAACTGGTCGTGATCGCATTGTTATGTGAGCTTTAATGGTGATCAAAAACGAGACTGTGTCGAATATGTCGAGATGTGCCACAAAGCAATCAATCCTGAGATGCGCTATCCACAGTTAGCACAGTGGCTCAAAGTTATGGCAAACTGGTTAAAAGTTGAGGAATGCGAATATGAGAATAAGTAACAATTAATTTGATATTGATTATAACCTCCATCTCTTATTGGGGAAGTCTTAAAGTAACTCTAAATAATCGATAGAAATATCAGAAAATATTATCTAAAATTAACAAGTTAATGTTTAATTTGCAAACTTTTGATGTAGAGTTTAATTAACAAATAGGTTTTCCCATTGTGATAAGGGCCCATTGTAGAAAAGTTGTATAGTTTTTGCCTTCTTGGTGTCAGGTTAAATAGTTAAGCTGACCGAAAATGACTGTGGGAAAAGACAGTTGGAGCGTCAAATGATAAACCTGTTTGTCAATTAAACAAAAATATTGTAATAGTTGATAACAGAATGGGCAAACAGAGTCGGCGATGCGGAGGCACAGACCGACAGAGATGCCGTGATGAGAACTTCCCAGAACAGAACCGAATACCAGAAACAACCTGTCAACCCAAAAGGCTGTTTTGCTTGTGGGACCCTTCCCTGCCTGCGTTTTGTCGATGTGCTTCATTATCGCCTTGCCTTCAACTTTAGAGTTGGACTCTCGGCAGCAGCAGCAACTCCTCCAACCTCCAACCACCTTCACCATTACCATCACCTCCACTTGGTCGGACGAGTTGCCTTGGCTTGGCTTATTGTTTAGTGAAGCATTTAACTTATAAATATTGTATGTGTGTGTGTGGCAAGAAGAAAAGTGTTTTTGTGTATGTGATACCGTTTTGAAATGTGCCAGCAACAGACAACAGAACACGACAGCCAGAGAGAGAGAGAGAGGGAGAGAGGGTGAGGAGAGCAGAGTGAGAGGAGTGCATCAACTCAGACGCAATGTTATGAAATATTTCCCATGACAATTCTGTTTGTTTTTCGTGCATTGTGTCTGCCTTTAGTCTTGGCACCTTACCGACGCCGTCACCATCGTCGTCGTTCACATCGTCCGTCGCCCACTCACAGTTGCTCACAGTTGTTCTCATCAGTTCAGTCTCATCCAGTTGGCCAGCTCAGCTCCACAATGGATGGATGAGAGCACTCTCTATTTGCTTTATCTCTGCCCTGACTGACTGCTAATGTTCCTGCGCTTGATTTCCCAGGCATCAAACAACTTGTTGAAAAACCCTTGAGTTCCCTTAACCCCCTCAGCAAAAGTAAAAATAAAAAGCTGCCTCACTAAATGGTCACCCTAATAGCCAGGCATTTCGGCACGAGTTGGCATCCCAATTATTTCAAGAACCAGTCGCAAAAACACATAATCAACATTTGCTCAACTTCTCAATACTCTTGCTTCCATTCAAATAGCTTAGAATATAATTTCGGAACTTTATTTATGGTTTTTTTTTAATGCAGCTACTAAGTATTTCTTTACGTAAAAATAAACAATGTGACTTTAACATTGCTATCTTCAGATATATAGAATCACTCTCAAACATAATGCCATGCTACAAACTTAGAAGCACATGCTTCATGCCAAAGTTGTATAATAAAAGTTTTTGGATAAGGGTATTAGCTTTTAGCTAATTATTAGCTGGCAGGCAAAGCACTCGTCGTCGGCGAAGAGGTCAATGAAGTGCCGCCGAAATTCCGTGAAATAAAAAAAGTGTTCAGCGATTCCAATTTGGCAGGCGACAATTATAATTCGGGTTGAATGTGTGTGTGTCGAATCAGGCAGAAGATTGCAAAGAGGCCAGACGATCGGTGCGAGTTGGACACTGGTATCCAGTCCACCACTTAAGGAACTCGCCAGGTTGGCGCTCTCGTCGCGGAACCTCGCGACCGAGTTGGCGGCAGAGGGCGCACAAGGGATGCGGACTCTTGTGGAGTCGATACATGGAATGCCACCAGAAGAATTGCTCGTACAGCTGCGGCTGTGACGACAGCTCCACCAGATGTTCAGCCAGCTGCTTGGGTGTGCCAAAATCTCCGCCGCTGATGTAGCACCCTGTTGGCACCAGCTGGCTAAGATTCCCGCCACCAATTATCACCGGCACCACAAAGTTGACCACTGCCGTGTAGAACTGCGGATGCACATAGTCCGGACATGTGCTGGTCTCAAAGATCAGCATGAATTTATATTGAGCGCAACTAGGAACAAGATTTGATGTAAATATAAACTAAAGTGAGAGAAGTGCTATAGACCTACTCATGATAGCCATGACAGCTGATTTGGGCATCCAGCTCCAGGTACTTTCTCAGCTCCTGCAGGTAGAGACTTTCGGGCAGAGAGTTGTTGTTCACTTCGTATATCATGTAGAATACCAGAGCGGATTTCGACTGGAGCTGAGAGCGTAAATTGGCAACCGATTGGTTCACCTCTTCGAGGAAGCTCGCCTCTTTGCTATGCTCTTCGGCAAAGTAGTAATCTGTCCAGATCACATCCGAGTCCCTGCGATAAGTCATCGTAAAGTTGAAGATTGTTTTACCATGCCCCAACAGTGGATCGCGCGACAGGCTTTTGGGATGTCGTAGAGCATAGACAGCCAGGAAATTTGGGGTACGCCTGATCCGATCGAGTCGCTTCAGGGAGTACGGTCGATCTCCATTGAAGACGTTGGCCTCAAACGTTGCGCCGGCATAATTGCGTTTACTGGTCACCAGACAGCCACAATTGGGAATGGTCATCGCGCCCTCGCTCCACAGGAGGATAGCCTTGCCGCTGGACTCCTTAGCTCCTCTTCTCATCACGTGAACATATCGTCCGCAGTGGATCAGTAATAATATAACTGAAAGATAAACGATGCTCTTTCCAATGGCCAAGGTAAGATAGATTTTGTCTTGGCCCTTATTCAAAGTGATTTTAGACTTCGCCATTGCCATTGCCATTGCCGGTGGCCGCTTTTGTTCTCCTGCAAACAATTTGTACAGTTGAAATGCTTAGAATTTACGAATTGTCTACTTAAATGTAGTAGTCATATTAAATTATAAAATTCTTTTGTGTAAATAACTAAAAATGAAACTGAAATTGAATGCCAACTGGGGTAACTGAACTGAAAATCAAATATAATATCTGATATCGCAAATCAATAAGCTTTGAACTCTTGATTGAGAATATGTACATAGGTTAAGAGGCTGCAAAAGTTATTCTTCGTGACTGTTTAATCGGCTTCAAGTTACTTTTTATGTAATAGCTATTTAAACACTAAAGTTGCTGGGCACCGGACACTTGTATTGAGTCCACCAATAAACGAATTCAGTGGCAGGATTAACTTCTCGATTCTCTCGCAGACGGCGACAGAGGTGGCAGTAGGGCTGCCTATTGAGTTGGATCTGGTACTTGGAGTGCCACCAGAAGTATTGCTCATATAGATCCGGCTGCGTCGAGAGCCATATTAAGTGCGCCGCCAGATCTTTAGGTGTGTGGAACTGGTCGGCGTTTATATAAGAGTTGGGTGGCGCAAGCTGGCTGAGATTGGTGCCACCAATTAGCACAGGCACCACATAATTGGCCAGCGCCAAATAGAACTGCGGATGCACATAGTCCGGACAGTAGCTGGGCTCAACGATCAGCATAAAATTGTAGGAAATGCATCTACCAAAAGAGGAGAGATTACTTTATCACTCGTTTGAATGTTGTGTTAGCTACCCTATTCTTTCATGGCAGTCGTGAATGACACTGAAATCCATGTGCAGGCGCAGCTCCTGCAGATAGTTGGGTGTCTGTGGTGGCAAGGTGGAGTCGTTCACCAAGTTGTCCATCATATAAACAGCTAGCTTGTGTTTAAGCTCCAGCTTGAGGCTTAGCTTGGATGCTTCCACTACCGACATATTAATCATGAAGTCTTCATTTGGTTCTTCAAACTTGTTCACCCGCTTATAACTCTTGTGTCGCAATGAGAAGTAGTGGTCTGACCAGATCAAATCCGAGTCCAGGCGATAGGTCATGGTGAAGTTGAATTTAGATTGAGCATGCGTAGATACCGAATTTTTGACTAAACTCAGCGGTTTTTTGGCTGCAAAGACAGAGAGGAAATTGGGGGTCCGTCTAACATTGTTCAGACCCTGTAACGAATAGGGTCTGTCCGCATCGAAGATGATGGCATCTATGATTCCACCGCCACGATCACTGGTCACCAGGCAGTGACATTGATAGGAATGCTTAGGATTCGCAACGTTCCAGAGGAGTATTCTCGATCCGCCAATTGGTTGCCCCTCTCGGATCATTTGATGACGCGGCACAAGGAGCAGCAGCAAGAAAATCGCCGACACACAAATCAGCCACTTCAAAATCAGTCTACGTTTGCTCGACAGACGTCGAAGTTGAAGACGCGTTCCAATGGAGCGATGTGGTGGCGGCAACAATGCCAAATCTGAGTCAATGGAGTCCTCAATATCACCTTGACTGTTATTGGCTTCGATCTGTTCTCCATTCTCCGACTTTGCTTGACTCATTCGATTGCTAAACATTTTCTGAATGGGTAAGCGACGAATCCTATCAAGTGCCAATTTATTTGTAGTTATACATATAAATATTATATATATATATATTGTTTGCTTTTGTTGTAACGGTTAGATCGCTGCCAGCTAAGATGGCTAACTAAAACTTGATTGGTTTTATTATTTATATGTAAGTCAGTGAAATGATCTAAAACATGTCTAAGAACTTAAAATCAGCAAAAGTGCGTATAATTTGTGTATATATATTTATATATATCTGGTATTAGTCAAATCTGTAATCAATCAATCAATGGGGAACGATTTCCGCCAATTTACAATTGTAATATTGTTGAGAATTTTTGCAATTTGTTATCCCGGTGGAGAAGTGTTGAAATCCTTAAAAGCAGTCAAGCGCACTTACCGCCCCACCACTCCACATCGACAACTTTTGCATTTCCGTCTTGCACTTCCCCCTCTCCCCGCATGTTCGTTTCACTCCTTATTCAAACAGAGTTGCCTTCTGTTATTGAGGACAGGAACAGGAACAAGGTGATTAATCATTTTGCCAAACATGACAATCTGGGCAGAAAACTTGGCGTAACTCGTCCCGGTGCCAGAGAAAAACAGAGAAGAATATTGAAGCACGTTCCGCACCATATCCGACTATTTCGCCCTCTCACCGCTCACTCCTTCTTTTCCCTCTCTCTCTCATTGTCTGTCATTCAATCCATTGATGATATATCACTACAGTTTCGAATATTCATTTGACAACTTTTCTCGCTGCTCATTTCAAATGCGCCGCACAAACCTGCCAAGGATGTGGCTGCTAGTGAAAGTTAGTTGAGGAAGTAGCGGGTGGGGAGTGGGGAATTAGCAGTTGTATTTGCTCATTGGACAGTTGGGAACGTGCCGATGACTTTGACGGACTCCTACTCCTCCTCCATCTCCGTAAAGGTCTTAAAGAAAGAAATATGCACAAGGCTCGCAATTTTGCAATTGACAAGCGTTTTAATATGAGACAAGCAAGAGTAGTGGTGAGAAGGATGAAGGGATTGGTGTAAAGGATTGTGGCACGTAGCAACAGTTGCCATATGCAAATTGGCAGCGCCAGCCTTTAACGCCGTTTATGTGCGAAAGTGAAATGGAATTGCCAGAGTGCCAGACGGGTCCAAAAGGTTGAAAGGTTCGTCGGAGACGAGGCAATATCATTAGAAGTGGGGGTGTGTGTGTGTGGGGGGACTCAGTAAAGTGAGCTAAGCTAAACAAAAAGAATAAATCGCTAAGCCAAAACGAAACACATATAAATTTTAATTATTCCTGCGAAGTCAGTTGAGTTCAACTGGATGCCAGGAGCACACGAGGCAGACGGCGGAGACGGGGGAGACAAAAGAAAAATGTATAGCTAAACAAAAGAAGCGATACGATTGCAGTCTTCGCAAGGAGACTGGAGACTGGAGACAGGAGACTGGAGGATGAGACTGAGATTGACTCTGACTCTGACTCTGAGTCTTACTGTGACTCTGTATCTGGTGCGATGCTCCTGGACTCAGTCGCAAGTCAAAAGTCGGTGGAATGGAATTGAAATTCCATTGTGAATTTTTTGGGGGCGTTGCCGCGTCGAAAAAATGCAATAAATATGCATATGAGAGAGTGCCGAGAATTATGGGCTCTGTGTGTGCTTGTTGCTGCTGCTGCTGCTGCTGCTTTGAATAATTTGGTTCCCACACTCCAAAATGTACAACGCGATCATGAGAGTGCTCATCATGATGATGACGAAGTCGCAATTTTAATTAAAGTTATTAATAGGCCTGCCAGTCGAGATCGAGCGTTTCAACTATATGCATATAAGCATATATGTGATTTACCTTTGGCTTATGACTGAGACTGAGAGTATTTAGTCTGGTCGAGGTGTCCTTAAGCCTTGAGATCAGCTCAATTAAATGCCGCACACATTGTGCGGCAACTGCTTAATTATCGAATGCGATTCGAAAGAACAACGATACAAAAAAGGACGCCGGCGGCAAAGTCGCCACCTCAGAGAGACGCCGCTTCAAATTGGTCTTGATTGCGTTGTCTTCGGATTAAACATCAAGAGAAAATAACTTGGAATGCTCTAGACATGAGAGCTCGACTAGGAGATACCCTAAGCTGAATCGTTCTCAATGAACTGATTACAGATGCAAGGCTCAATTTGTATCGGTATACGCAAACAGTCTCTGAAATCGATGCTTGTCAAGAATATATATACGTTATGGGTTCGCTTGCTTCCTTCTGCCTGTAACATACCTTTGCCCAACTTCAATATGCCTTCGTTTCCCATTTTCAACAGGTTAAGGGTATAAAGAGAGAGAGAGAGAGATAACCGAGAATTGGAATTAACATGTAATTATCTCAGTTTGGTCTGCACCTCAAACATGAAACGCATCGAATCGACGACTGGCGACTTTATGGGCGACACCCAAAAGCAAAAACAGAAAAAAACAGAAAGAGAAAAAAAACGAAAACTTCGTCTTGTTACCGCAGGATACCCAAATCGAAGTCGTCCCAAAACGTGGCCTAGACACAGCTGCCACTTTGTTGCCTTGTGTGTGTTGCTCTTTTCGGGGTGTGTCCGTCTTAGGATCTTACCTTGTGCCTCTTCGTGCCTCGTTCCTCGTTCCTCGCTCCTCGACCACCCGCGCTAGTGGCGCTAAACTTGTCAGTCGCCTTTTTGGACCCTAATTAGGTGTTGGTGTCGGACTACGACTACTATTTTGGATAACTGCTTGGTTATTGATGTGCCGCAACTTGAGAGCCTGTTCCAATTTGAGCTACTTAGTGTCTGAACTCATTTGTTTTTCACTCATCTGCCACTTTCACTGCTCGCGCTGCGAATTCGTCACGCAATTTCCTGAATCGCTCTCACACCCACACTCTCTCTCTCTCTCAATGGGTGTGCGTGTTGAGTCATGTCGTGTTTTGGCGCCACTCAAATAAGACATTGCTGACCCACAAAGCGGCGGCACTCTCGCATTCATTCAATCAAATCTGAGCAGCTCTGTGATTATCACGGCCCGGCACCGACTATGACAACGACTACGACTACGACAGCGTCTATGGGGTAAATGTGTATTGTCCACGTCTCTATTGTCATTATCAATTCACAGTACCCCCTCAATTGTTGTTGTTGTTGTTGTTGTTGCTGTTGCTGTAGTTGTCCATCATCCACGTAAACATTTTGATGATGATGGCAATCATGAAATGTTGCTTTGGCCCAGTTGAACCAATTGCTGCTCGCTTTTATTTTTATTGTCACGATCAACGAAAACTCAGCGCTGATGACACATGCATCTCTCCAATGCCCGGATGCAGGCACTTGCCAACCGCTGATTGATGCGCAGGCGAAACAGACTTGCCCAGTCTCGTGGTCTCTCGCAATGAGTTGAACTACGGCAATATTATGTAAACCAGGAATTCCGGTCGAAATTCAACAGAATTCGACATTAAGAAATTTCAGCTTTTACAATTTGTCTTCACTTCATTTCTGCTGCAACTCAATTAAACGTTGTTTACTTAATTAACTTTTGGTTTTTACTTGCTTTGTTATTGTTTTTCAATCTTCACTTGAATATGTTGAATTTTCCTTATATTTTCCATTAGTTCTTTTCTCTTGTCCAAATTACATGTTTTTTCTTGCTTTATATTTTTTTACAATTTATAAAGCATTCTTTAGCCTTTCCGCTTATTGGATTTTCACTTTTCTATCTCTTTTCCAGGTTGTTTTTCTTAGCCAAACTTATCTTAAATATTTTTCTTTAGTAATTAAATTTGACTTCTTCAAAATTCCACAAAACTTGTCTAGCTAATTTTGTCTTTTATTCTTCGTTTATATTTTATATATATAAGTTATATTTTTTTGTCAAATTTGTTTCCTTGCTTTCAGCCTTAACTTGCAGCATTTTGTTGCTGTCATTCGTCTTTCCGTTCATTTTTTCAGCCATCCATGCACATATATTTTATAGTCCCCTGCTCCATGTTCAAACTTGCTCTAGGAGTTTTGAACTTCCAGTGCAATCCCTAGAGGACGCTACCGTGACGACGCGACATGGACAATTATGTAAATAAACGGAGGCGCCTGTTCCGTCGGCGTAGACGGCGCGGAATAGAAAATGCGACAACCGCAATTATTGCCGACCATTTGGCAAATGAATGCGTGACAAAGTGCAGAGAATAGCGAGAAAAATCAAGGGGTGGGAGAGGAACAGCAGACAGAAGACAGAAAACAGCAACAGCAACCGAAACAAAAGGACACGCGGATGGGCAAGGACAGTGTCGAGGTCAGGACAATAGGCGGGCACAGCGGGTGTGGCAGCGAGGTCAAAGGTCAGTCGCGCTAATGCTAATGTGCTAATTGCGATTGGAATGCGGCACATAAAAAAAAAACAAAAATAAAACAAAAATAAATAAAACAGCGAGACCGAACTGACACAGAAGTCCAAACAAGACACGAGACAGCGGCGCTTAGGCTAATTGAAGTGTTTGCGTCCTTGGGCAGAAGATTTATGACCAATTGGCTACTAACTGATGGAGGTAGCATGGAGAGCAGCGAAAGCAGCACCGAAAGGCCACCCAAGCAGAGAAAGCGACCTGATGCTGTCCAATAGACTGCTCCTACTGCTGCTGCTCCACCTCCTGCTGCTGCTGCAGCATCCTGGCTGGGGGGTCCGTCTCCAATATCGTCCTGAATGTGTGTATGAGTGGAGTATTCCCGCATGCGCCTCGTAATTTAATCTGGGGCACGCGTGGCCTAAGTATCCAAGCATCATACATTGTCGAGCATCGTCCTTCGGCGCTTGTCGGGCCAACGGCTGTGATCTTTGTTCCTTATTGGCAGCAGTTAACAAGTCGAGACAAGTCGGGCTGGTTTGCTTAAGCCAGGCCAGGTGTGATATCTGTCGATCAAAACTGTAACTGGATCTATCAACTTATTCGAGTCGAGTCGACTCCATGCAAAGTTTACTGTTCAACATTGTCTGCTCCTCAAGCATACACTAACTGTGCGCAGAGTCAATTGAATATGGGATGATGATTCGTAATTATAAAATATTTTTAACAGTAAACCCAAAAATATAGTAAGCAAATATTTTGTTAAGCTGCTAATCTATGCCTATATCTGAATCCGTAATAATCTAAATATAAAATATAAATATTAATTTAAAGAAAAAGATAAAAGGTCGATAGGGTATTTAATAATCAGGGTGTTAGAAGTAGCAAATATACATGTATATTTATTTTCTTGCTGACCACCAAAGTTGATTGAAATTTTGGCAATGACCCCAGAATATGTTGGGCAGCTGCTGCTGCTGCTGACTGAACTGACCTGAACTAAACTGAGCAGAACTGAACTGAGCTGAAGTGAACTGAGTGAAGCAGCTGTTGGTGCTCGGTTGGCATCAGCTTCGCCCACTGGCCTGGCCAATATGCTGGCCAGGCCGAGGAGCCGGCGGAGCGTTAAAACGCACACGTTGACAGCTTTTTGTTCTTTTTTTTTGTGTTTTTTTTTTTATCTTTCTTCTTTGTTGGTAAGCGACGGCAGTTGTTGGCCATTTCCATTTGCAGTCGCTTAATGTGCGCGATTTGTATCTGCAAGATATAAATTGTAATTATTGCATTGTGTTTAGGGAGACACAGCGCTGCTTATCACTGTAGCCATCGCTGCCTGGTGCACATTAGCGAAAAAATTGCAAATGAGTGTCGAAATAAAAGTGCAACACCCCACCAACATACCCGTCCACGTCTGAACGGGAAGGAGGTGGGCGGGGAGATGATTTCACCTGGTGCGAATGCGCATTGTTTGTCGGGTGGGAAAAACAGCGGAAAAAACAAAGCGAAACAAATTGCTCAATTTTTGTTTTGTTTTTGTTTTCTTTTTTTTTTACTGTTGTTTTTAGTTGTTGCTTTTCGCGCTTTAACACTTTTTATTTTTTTTGTTGTATGTAAGTCGCTCAGAAAATTGATGATGTTGGCTGACGACGGTGTCTGACGACGAGGACATTGAGTTATGGCCAGGCCTAGAGCTGTGACAGCTGCCAGCGAACGAAAGAGAGAGAGAGAGAGAGAGAGACAGAGAGGGATCGAGTGAAATGGAGCTGGAGCGAGAATGAGAATGAGCTGATTGACCACCCAACACAGATGTATTAAAAAGAAAATACATTTTAATTACCATGCAAGTGATGAAAATCGCTGCTGGATGCAGTTTTGGAGTCGCTCACAATTGAGATTTAAGCCTGGGTGGTTGACTGACTGCTGGGCAGCCAGCGAGATGCGTTAGTCAATAGAACGCCGGCATCCAACGGTGCGTATGGAATTGAAAATCAACCACGCGACCGACCACACAAGCAAATAGGGCGCCTGCAACAGCCAATCCCCTACCTCATATCCCCAACACCCCCCCAACCCCGCCACTAGCAAGACCTTCGCTTGCCTGGTGATGATGACGTTGATGGAGCTGTCGATGATGCGTTGCATTCGCGCTCTGGATGTCTGGTCCAGAAATTTTGGTAGTTGTTATTAACCGTATCTGTTGCGGCTTTGATTGATGCCCCACGCCCCATGCAACGATCTGGCCACGACCTGGCCATGGCCAACAGCAGCGCCTTCTGAATCGCCTTCGTTGCGGTCATGGCCCAATAATTGAAATATGTTTTCATTTCTTTTCTGTTGTGTGTGTGTGTATGTGTGGATCAAAGAGCGAAAAGAGCTGAAGCCGAGCTCAGATTGTTTGTAAGAGTTTTGTTTTGTCGGCATTGATGATTTGATTAATTTGAATTTGGCTTCATTCACAGCGCTTTATTTTTTTGGGGTGTTGATGGGCTCTTCCCAGCTGCAGCAGAGCGTCTAATTAAAATGTACAAATGCAGTTGCTGACGTGAACACTAAAGAAAGAAAAGCCCTCAAGTTTGTGACAACTGGTTCAACAACTGAGGTGACAACCAAATACGTGGAATGTAAAACATTAAACATTCATAAAGAAATATTCACACAGCAAATGCACGACTAAGAAATGCCCTGGCTTTGATAAGCTCTTATTAAATCAGTCTTTAACAATATACCTTTGCTGAGTGCGTTGCTTATGACAGGACAACAAGCGGCGGTCGAGAAACTTTTGTAGTACATGGAAATGTCATTCGCATAACACCATCAAAAAGACAAACAACCATAACAACAACAACCAGAACAGCAACAGCAACAATGAATGTTGACAAAAACGAAAACGACGCACAAAAGTTTCACTCTCTGCTGTGTGGATACCCCAAAAAGTTGCAGACCAAGTTGGAGGCACCTTTGCATTTAACTATTGTTATTGTTGTTGTTTGTTATTGTTAAGATAAGAGAGGCAACAAAATGTTTGATGTACCTGAAACTTAATGTTTTGTGCGGCCAATTTCAGACATGACTTTAGTTTTGGCAATTTTAGCGTTTGGGAGCCCGTTTTTAATGGAGCATTTTCCACTAATTTGCTTACGCATATTATGCGGCTTTGACCCTTTTTGGGCCAACCAACCAACAAAACCAGCCAACAACTAATCACAGCACTTGTCATTAGCTCAAAGGCAGATTTTCAGTTGCGCACACTGAACTCTTAACCCCAAGTTTCACACGCTCGATTTGAGTCGGCCTTTCGTTGCTTTTCGGCCTGACAATTACAATTTGGGGGCTACACACTTTTGCTTTCAGGTACTACAACAACACCAACAACAATAATAACAGCAATGTCGATGACTGTATCTTTTTGGGGGGCAAATGACAAGCCCAACACAGTTATCAACAGAACTTTTAGCCGCCTCATTGGAGAGCAACGAAAAAAACCGAAATAAAAATGAAAAAATATGAAATTGTTTTTCCCACGCAAATTAACACTTGACTTTGTTTTCATATTTGCACAAGATGACTTCATTTTCTTCTTGGTGGGTTTCTTTTTTTGTTTTTAATATTTTATTACTTGTTGA